GGGGACAGTCAAGCCCGTGGTGCTCCGGGGGCAGAAGGCTCTGCGCAGCCAGGACTTCCACCTCGGTTTGCGTTGCGCGGTGTAGCTGCCAGCTTCCCCCCCATGACGTGTGCTCTGCTTTTCCCTTCAGCTCAACGGCACTTCCATCTCCAGCGCCACACCCAACAACACTGTTCGTTCAGCTTTTGGGGGAACCATCTACCACTCGCCAACGTCTCGGTTGCCGCCTTCCGGAGGGAAGGTAAGGAGCTTTCCAGGGAGTCCCTGCCCAGCAGGGTGAGCTGGGAAGGTGACAGGTGAGCTGGCACGGCACAGCTCCGACTGCTGTCGCACTGTGCTTCACTGCCTTTCCTGCCAACTCCTGGGGTGCAGAAGCCCCATTTGTCTGTATCCTGCTGCGTTGAGCTGCCGCGATCCTGATAGGATATTGTCTGTCGCTTCGTCCTGTAGTTCGGCCAGGCTCGGACCCCCAGCCGTGTGGCTGCGAAGCCCCCCCGTCACGGATACAGGGAGCGGAACAAGGAGAACATGTCGCAGCTGAACGGAACCACCCTGAGCGGTGGGTGCACCCCCCCAGCCCCTGCCCAGCGTAACCACAGCGTTAATTCTGTTGCCAGCACCTATTCTGAGTTTGCGGTAATTCACCTCTTCTAAACCCACCTCCCCTCGCTGGGCAGCACGGGGGGTGCGCTCCCCCCTCCCGGAGCACCCCAAGGGGCTCAGCTCTGCACAGCCCTCCCAGTGTCCCCGTGCAGGGCGACTGTTCCTGCCAGTGCCCGTGGCAGCAGATCTGTTGGCTCTGCAGCGAGAACTTAAACTTGAGGTTTGGTGGCTGAGGCCGAGTGCTGCTCATGTCACGCAGAGGCCCTGAGCAGCCCAGTGGGGAACAGACAAACTCAAGAGAAACCCCGATGTCGGGGGCACCTCCCAGCCCTGCGCAGGGGCAAAGCCGTACGTGGCTCAGGCCCCCTGGCACAGCCCTGCTGAAGGGATGCAGCCACTCTCCCAAGGTGGGCCTGTCTCTAGCTGCTTGAGCGAAGTCTCCCCCCACCCCTGAGGTTCCAGTCACTTGGTGCAGTGTGTTCTGGAGGTGGTGATGCTCCCCAGCCTCTCCAAGGGGCTGCAGCACGGTGGCCCGGGCACCTGGCAGCAGCAGCACTCTGTCGCTGTCTTAACTTGGTCAGTGGGGAGGGGAGGGAGGGTCTCCTGACCCCCAGGTGGGGGAAGCCTCTTCCTGCTGCCTCCACGGACTTGTCTGTGGCACGCTCACGTGGGACCCCGCTTGCTGCCACTCTGAGCCGAGCCTGCGCGGGGCCCTGGTGTCTGTCCCACCTTTGCCGCTGGTCTCTGCGGTGTGCGGGGTGAGCGAGGGCTGTGCCACGGCCCCAGCTGCCAGGGAAGGTGCTCCCTGCTGATGGATGGGGCTTCGTGTCGCGCCAGAGGTGCCTTAGTGGCCTCTGCCCTCCTCTTAGTATGGGCTGAGCCCAAGCGGTAACATCTGCTGACCCGAGAAAGCCATGAGCATCCCGTCCTTGTGGCAGCTAAGCCTGTGTGTGCAGTGCCCTGTGTGCCCCTGGGGCTGTGCCAGGCTGCAATCCCAGGTTCCCAGGTTTGGATCGTGCACAGCCTCGGGGCAGGGTGGGTGCTGCTTTGGGTGTTCCCCTCCTCCAGCAGCTGGGCATGGCTGTCCCCATCTGCCTGCTTCCCCTCCCTTCGCGGAGGGGCAGCCCATTTGTGTCCTGCTGACCTGGCAGGGTCCTTCCCGGGACAGCCAGCCTGGGCCCGAGGGAGGGCTAAAAAAGCCCGAGGGAGGGATGTGGTTCCCGGGCTGTTTGGGCAACAGGTGCTCCTGCTTCTGGGAGGCTGATGGGCTCCAAGTTCTGTCTGGGCTACTCTTGCTAACGCTCTCCTGCCCTCTTCCGAAGCAAGAGGGGTG